CTTTGAATGATTTTAACTAATGATAATGTAGAAAAACTAACATTTTAAATTCGGGACGGTCCACATTAATTTCGGGATGGCTTAGATTGTATTTTGGGACGGTTCCGGGAGGATGGTGAAAAAAGTTAGTCGAGAGCACTGGGCCCAGTACGTGAACTCGCCTCGCAGGTGCACACGCCAGGATAGAGGACCAAGTCGGAGCGCCAATGTACAAGTCGAGTCCGAGTCATCGTGGGGGGAAAAATTCACGAGTCCGAGTCCAAGTCAGCGTACGCAATAATTCACGAGTCCAAGTCATCGTGTGCGAGAATTCACGAGTCCAAGTCCGAGTCGTGTCAATCAGTGCGCGAGTCCGAATCGAGTCACGAGTCCCGAAAATCGGCACTCGAGTCCGAGTCCAGGACTCGAGTACTCCATCTCTGGCAACAGGCGGACCGCGGTCCGGATCCGGAACCAGACGCCGACCTATACGGACCCGGACCTATAATCAATACATTAATAGGGGATTTCAATTTTGACGGGGCGATTCTATTTTAACCGCCGCCGACAGGGGGCGAAAGAGACGAGTGTGCGATACAGGGAGAGAAACACAGAAGAAGAGACGAGTGTGCGATACAGGGAGAGAAACACAGAAGAAGAGACGAGTGAGCGATACAGGGAGAGAAACACAGAAGAAGAGATGAGAGAGCGATACAGGGAGAGAAACACAGAAGAAGAGACGAGAGCGCGGCAGAGAGAAGCGGAGAGGAAAGTGAGTGAAGAGAATAATTAACGATACAGGGAGCGAAGACGGAGAGGAGAGTGAACAGGCGTGTTAGCGGCAGACAGGGAGAGACACATAATTACACATGGCGCTCTCCAAGAAGAGGAAAGTGGACAGTGAGAACAGAGCTTTTAACCCTGAGTGGACGGACTCTTCATATTCATCCTGCTCACTGGCAGCACAGAACCCGTGTGTCTCATTCAGAGACCGTGGCGCTCATTAAAAGTGCCAAAACGCCACGATGAGACAAAACACAAAGTGTTTGACCAAACATTCCCTCTCAAGTCAGAACTGAGGCCACAAAAAATAAGCAGTCTCAGAGCCCAATATGATCAGTCCACCAGGATCAAAATGAAAACTAAATATCGTTCCAGGGCAGGCTAACCGAGGCTAACCAATGAGCACCTGCATGTGTGTATGAGAATGGCCCTGACACCATTTCAGCCCAGATTTAAACTCCTGGCAGGACAATCTCCAGCTCAATTCTCACACTGAATTAAAAAAAAGTGAGTGAGGGACTGCAATATAAGAGGGAAAGATAGAGAAACTTTAAAACTGTTCAATTGTTATGATGTAAAGACTGATATTGTTCTATAATCATCTGAAACTGTTAAGTCATGATGTGAAACGGTTAACAAAGAAAAAGGGAAACTCAAGCTGCTGCGACACTTTATTTTATTTATCTAAAACTAAGCACTTTCAAGATGCACATATTTTCAAAAGCTATTTTATTTATTTTCTCTATTTTATTTTGAAATGCAGCCCGAGAGGAACATTACACATATCCACAGCATTTACTGTATATCTGTATAGTTCAATGTTAATTCACAATACATATTGTTGTTTTTGAATTGTACTTTCTTTATTTGATTGGCAGTCAGTTGTTGATTACATGCAGACGTTGATAAAGCTACAGGCTACTTCAATATATATCACACTAATTCATGAAGCAAGTTAGACATTTTGATGTTCCGGACCTTTGCATGGGATAATTTTCTCTAACTGGACCTCGTTGAATTTTATTTGAATACCCCTGCCCTATACGATCATTTCCTGATAACGATGAAGCCATAGCCCCACCTCTCCCCACCTCTGCTGCTCACTGCTGTAGCATGGTCAGTAGCTTGTCAGTAGCTACTGCTACTGACCATGCAACAGATGTTAGTGCAAAATCTACAGCTCCTCTACCACAACCATCAGCAACAAGTGGACATGGAGAATTACATGAACTATATGTTGCTAAATCCACCGCGGGGCATAAACAGAAGGACAACCATGGCAACCATGCTCGGTGTATTTTGTGGCGAAAGTACAGCGCCACTTACAGGCCCGGCATATGTACTACAGCTAGTGATGGCAGTTTGACACTGAAGCTTCGAACGGAGCTTCAACCCTGGACTTCCTATTCCATAGAAGCAGTGCTTCGAAGCTTGCTTCAAATCACGTGACATATGACGTCCGAAGCAGCAACTGCTTCAAATCACGTGACATGTGACGTCCGAAGCAGCAACTGCACTGCCTCGTCCCGATTCTGACAGGTGACAGGTTGAAACAGTTTCAAATGTGAGCGCTTCAACACTTTATGACCGCTCTAAACAATGCGCAATGTGTGGGTTGTTGTCGTAGTTTGCGTTGTAGCTGTTCAGTTGTTGTTGGTATTGCATTTGAATTGTAGTATTCTTTCACACACAGTGACGTCACGAGCTACCCACAATGCAACGCGCGCCATATATATATATATATATATAAATACGCCATTTTTTCTGGAGGTGCAAAAATCCTGGAGGTGCTAATATAAACAGCTAGCTAACGTAGCCAGGCAGAGCGCACTAGGTTTTTTTTCTGAATTAACGACCGAAGAAATCGCTGCATGTCTTCGGGTTACATCTCTGGACTTGAGGGGTGTGCTCTAGGTCGTTACCAGCGTAAACTAGAGCTGTGTGGGTTGTCGGATTGCCCTTATGGAATTACGACCCTGGAAAGTGGCCTTCGGTCGATTTTGGCAGCATCTACGTCTATCTTCTGGAAACACCAGGTGAATACCCCACTTGTCACAATAATATTATCATGCCAATGCATATATGCGGTATTTTAGAGTTGACTATATTGATTAAGGCAATAGACTATGATATTCTGCTTGCACCTCGTGTGAAATGGCGGATACCGGAAGTACGGTGTCGCCCTCGGCCCAAAACCCGTATGTGTGTGTGAAAGAATCATTATAGAGCAAGCCAGGAAGAAAGATAGGTCGTTCTGGCTCGGGAAACACTTCGAAATGTGGAGAAGTTGTGAACAAAAGGACAATTATCAATAATATAAAAACAGTTCAATATTTTAAGGAATAGATAGCCCAGTGGATTGAGCCGGCGGCTCGAATGCGGCGATGTTCTCCGCGCAGCTGGTTCAAAGCCCGGAATGGATGTATTTTAATCATTGCTTTTCAACTTTAATAACTGATAAAAGGCCCTCTCCGCCCAAAAACATGTCTAGCACTCTCTAGTCTCTTCTCAATAACCCAATACACACAATTATCAATCTTTAATTGCAAATAGAACATGATATTCAGTCTTAGTGTGTGTGTGCATCGAATATTTTTCAAGGCAAAGATACGTTATACCCACTGCAGCCTTGCACTTCGCCAGGAGAGGTCGCTGTAACTGAAGCTTCGAGAAATGAACCTATTTCCGACACAATTGTCCAAGTGGTTCGATGCTTCATTCAAAGCTTCATTTTGCCATCACTAACTACAGCGTCTCCAGCGCTCCCGAGCGGTCTCGTGTGAACGGAATACTTTTTTGATATCGTATTCGGTTCGTTTGCGTTTCGTATGCGTGTAAATGGGGTCTTAGCTAACTTCCAGTGTTTTAATTTTTGCGTTCTTCTATTTTGATACCTTGGAGAAAAAAGATTCTAGAACAATATACAAAACAAAAATATATTCCTATCAAAGAATCCTCCAACTGAAGATATTTTCCAAGATTACCATTACTTAAAATACAACTTTACATTTGTACCATTGAACAATCACCATTATGTAGATTCTGTGATGAACAAGATGCATTTGTTTTTCCATTGTCTTTATGTTGCAAGTATGTGGTCCAAGATTAAAAAAACAACTTTAATTTTACATTTACACCTTTCAACATTTTATTTGGGCTTCAGAATGAAAATAGTCCACAGATTATAAATACAATTATTCTCCTGGGTAAAGTACTTGTTTTAAAAATCAATCAAGAAGTGATCTGAATTCATGGTGTATAAAAATGTATTACAAAAACTATTTATTTTGGAAAAAACTATTGCCACAAACAATCAAAAGGCCAACATCAGGACAATCAGCTCGAAGGACAAGTGGGATGGAATAATAGATGTGCTCGGCCTGTCGTGTGTTTGGGTTGTTGGATGTAGGGGGTGTTAACCTAGTGATCTGAAACGTTGACGGTATCCTCTTGGCTGTTTTTGTTGTCTTTTTATTTTATTTGTGTATCTTTTTGTAAGATCGGAACTCCATCTCACCAACACTGTTGTGTCCCTATCTGTGTCTGCTGCCCTGTACACAAATATATCCTTTGTCCAACTGACCCACATTTCCCAATAATAACAGGGGTCCTTCCCAAGGGACACCTACTGTTTAATGAACGAACCACTATTGGCAACAGTAAAATGCTGTTAATTGATGGCACCGTGCGTTAACAAACTCATTCTACAGATTTCGTTCAATCGGCTTCATATTAATCTGTATGTTTATTTTCTTTGGTTTGAGTATATCATATTTGAATTGGCTCATTTTCAGGTTCATATCAGTATGTAGTGTCTCTACTGTGACATGTCTCCATGCTTTATTGTTCAAAAAGCTCTTTATTTTTCTCATACTGCCTGTGCTGCAGCACCTCTTTTCACCCTCTGTCTGAAACCAGAGCCCAGTCTGCTCTGATTGGTTAGCTGGCCGGCTCTGTTGTGATTGGTCAACTGCTTAGAGACTTGTCGGAAATGTCTCTCCACTTTCTGAGTCCATTCATACAGTATCAATAGGTCACATAGCTATTTCAATTTCACTGCAAATATGTAACCTGTAGGTAACATTAATATTGTGTGACGCTGGAGCTCCTCAGGTTATTCAGTATGTAAACATGTACTAATCACACACGTAAACACATGTGTAATGTGAACATTTCTGAATTCCTGTAAAACTTCAGCTGAGACTGTTTTGATGGACTCTTTCCTCTCTGTGTTTCAGGAGTGAAGCTGAAACAAATGGAAGGCCCCAGGACGCAGAACACTGGCATCCCAAACGACCAGATGGAGAGGATAATGAAAGAGTGATGCGGATGAATTATACTTTGTTTCATGAATAGCTCTCCCCACTCATTACTTAATAATATTTATCTGAACAGAATTGTAAAGGCTCTGTTCATCAAGGCCCACAAACAAACTGAGAATAAAACAGATGTAAAGTGACGTAGGGACTGAAATACTGAACTGTAGCTGTATGCTACATCCATTACTGTGCTCCAATTCTGTGTCGAGCCGTGGCTGCCTTGTCAATACCATCAAAGTATAAGTATGCATTTCCTCACGCGACACTCCCTTTCAGCTGACACACTTATGACAAGCACGAAGCTTGTCTGGTCACAGATGTGTGTAAAGTTGAATGAGAATCCAATCTGACTTCAAACTGAGGACATTACTGCAGTCGACGCAGCTCATTCATGAGGCAGTCTTTTTTTTTTACAATAGATTTAACTATAGTAGACCATAATATGCCTACTATTAAAAATAAATTAAAATATTTTAAAAATATATTACCCCGCTGTAATTTTCTTACAAACACATAGCTGCACCAGACTGACTAAACATTGTAAGAACAAATAATCAAAGTCCACAATTAACTTTTATAATAAAACAAATATTGAAGGGCCACTAGAGTGATTTAGTATCCCACATATTTAAAGGTAGGGAACTTTTGAGAGACAGATTTTATAAGAAATGTTGCACAGTAAAAGGTGAGATATATTGACGTTCAGGATACATCCTCACTTGTCGTGTCCATTTTTAAAAGCAACCGTCAACTGCGCTTATGCCTAGCTTCCACACTGCTCTAAGTTTAACAACCCCTGAAACCGAACATTTGAGAAAGATCCTGACTCTGTTTTAGCCGAGGTTTTAGAAAAAGAGACGGCGCTAATTTTCCAAAAGGACAAATCAGGATGAAGTTGAAGGTGTTTTAGACTATTCTGCCTGTATCAGCAACACACTGTTGTGAGATTTGGCAACACATTAACATAAGTCTAATTTTTCAGTAATATTTGTAATGCTAAACCTTTATATATACAGTCTATGTGCTAAACATGTTTGTTAGCTGTGTACATATCTAGTTTTGGCTAAATAAACAAGGTTTTTAAGCCCTACCTGTTTGAAGGCACACGTGTTGACCCAGTTTCTTTGTCCTTAATGAAGTAAAACTTTGATTGTAACTGTACACTTTTAAAAGATTGTTGTTGGTGAGAGGAAAGATTGAGAAAGATGTAGGCTATGTTTAGCAGCCTTGTAACTGCACTTGAACATTAAACCATTTTTCCATGGTTTTTACCCACTAAATATATCGTAATTTGTGTGAGTTGAATGTAATTGGTGAGGAGTGTAACCCCGGGATTCCACCGGGTCCGTCTGCGCCGCGGTTTTGTTCCGATCTTCTACAGCGTCAAAACCCACCGGGATCGTTTCAGAAGCGGAGCGTCTTGCGTGCCCGCTCGCAGTTTTTGTTGATTTGGGAATATTTCCTGGACAGGCTACTTTGTACAGGCAAAGTTAATAATAATTGCAATAGTCCAGTTATAAACGACATGAATCGAAAATAGCCTATGTTGCTGTATTTTAGCGATAAAAAAATGCATTCATCATCATAATTATTCTATAAATATAATTTACACAGTGCCTGTAAACCGGAGGAGAACGCTGGCATTTATTCTCCTACTTGAAAGACTACGGAGGGATAGGGTCTGCAAAATTAGTTTATTTTGGGGATTGACTGGATGCTCTGACCGGTCCACTTCCTGCCCGGCGCTATGCAACGCCTCGCGTCTAAAATAAACCAGCCGCCTATTTTTAGCGGAGCCCAGCGCCGAGACGTTTCTGGGACGCTCCTGAGCCGTAACGCGGCACGTCTGGTGGAATAACGGCCCTTCCACACGGCGGCGTGCGTTGAAGCTTCAACGTTTCTGCCCATTCACTTTGAATGGGGTGACGTCACGCTTTGCCGAACTGCATTGTGGTTCCGTCGCTTCGCTTTGCTCGCTTCAAAAGTTGAGCAATGTTCAACTTTTGAAGCTTCAACGGAGTTTCAGATACGCCCACCGGCAAGCTTCAACGCATGCCGCCGTGTGGACGCTGTGTAACACCCATTGACTACAGTGGCCGCGATTGCTGTGAACGCCGCGGCGCAGCCGTAACACGGCGCAGACGGACCCGGTGGAATCCCGTGGTTAGTATGGACAGAGCTCATTTCCTCACAGCACTTACACTAATGGGTCCATAATATGAAAAGACTGGAGTATATTAATAAAGTATATTTCATAAGAACATCCCTGCCTGATGATTATGGCCGTGGAAGACCTAGGCTGAAAATAAACTTTGGCATAGAAACACGAGTAATGTGAACGTTCTGCATTCAATCTTTATGCTAAGTTAAACACATTGTGGATGTCTCCTCACAGACTGCTCTGGGATCAGGGTAACTGATGTCATATGTCCTATCTGACAGGAGGTAATAACCAAAAAATCAAATCTCCCAAAATGTGAAATTGATCAGGCCATTTTACACAATGTTATGGTTAAAGCAAATGTTTACCAGTGTCATGTCCTAACTCTAAATAATGACTTCTTATTGATAGCAGGGAGTAAGCAGGTACAAGTTCAGTGTGATGTTCTGTACACTACTGTACACCTCCACATTATTAAAGAGCAAAGTGTCTCTTTGGATCTGTATTCAGGTGTTGTCAGTTGACCACACATATGTCCAGTATGCAGAACTTGGCTCTACAGGTGGGGCAGGGCACTCGGCTGGAGAGCCAGGTCTCAGGTCTCTGCTGGTCCTGTCGGCTGGCGAACCATCGGCCCAGACAGGACAGACACCACATGGGTCTGCAGAAACACTGCTGGCACTCTGACTCCGTATCAGCTCCTAGAACACACAGCGGTCACAGAGGAAGAGTCACAATCACAGGATATAAACTTAAAACTAACAAGAACATAAGAGCTGGATGAGTCAGGGCAGGGAAGAAACGGAACTATGTGCAAAGGGCATGGGGACATTACACAAACTCATCCTTTAAACCGGGCAATGCACTTATATACCACTGTTTGTATTGTAATATACACAATATATTCTTTGATCTTTTTTTCTTCTTTAATATAAATGTATATGTTTATAAAATGTTTTCTATGTACAAATAAACTTCTTATCTTATATATGAATAACTTTGAAGGATATTTTTACTTAACTTTTCACGTTAAATATTTGTATTTCTCTTTGATTTCATTAGGTAACTGAAACCCAATTTCCCAAGATAAACAAAGCGTTGTGATTGTCCCCTCACCTTCTGCGTGGCAGAGTCTGAGCAGCTTGGTGCCTGCTGGTGCCTGCATACAGCCGATACAGGGCTCCACCTCCTATAGAGACAGTACTCTTGTGAATAATGGTGCATTGATACTGTGATCAGGATAGGACAGGATGTTAGCAGTAGCATACACACACAAACAGTAGTGTACCTGTCCACTGGGGAGTGTGTACGGGCGATTGAGATCCACCTGAGCTCTAAAGGTTTCCAAGAAGAGTTCAGTGATGGTTTGGTGGATCACTACATTGGCAGCGTTTCTGATGGGAGCGTGAAGCTTCTCCCTGAGCTCTGCATACTCTGTAGAGATTAGCCTGGAAACAGTGGAAAAGTGACTTTTACTGACACAGACACGCACATGCGCACGCACAAACGCACACACACCCACCTGATATCAAAGGGTCTAACAGCCGGGTTGATGCTGCCCACGGTCAGGGTGAGGATCTGAGCCGGGGAGGTGGAGTCTGGAGTCAGCTGGTGCTGTCGAGACTCTGTCACGGTCACATGACAGTCCGTCTGTAAGGCCATGTAGACATGGTAGGTGGTCACCTGGAGAAGGACAAAGAAGATCAACCATGTGGATAAAATATCTTTTTTATAATGTTTTTTTTGTTGCAAGAATTTCAACAATACTTTGTTGTTGTTGATTTGCATAAAGGTGTTGATTTGCATAACCTAAACATACCATAAGCTAAAGTGTAGCATGAGCCTGAAAGTGCTTACATAGTCTAAATAGTCGACTAAACATTAGTCGACTATTTAGTCTTCATTCATCTTTATGTCACAGGAAGAAAAAGACAAATCGCTCTATCGGGGCGCTGCGTTTTCTTTGTCATCCAGAAAACCAGACTATGAGCTGGCAAACAGACTACAAGTAGAAGAAGGTCTCAAATGTAATCTTAACGATGCTATAACCTATTTTCCTGTCCACTTTGAAGCGGTACAACAAGCTGTAGAACAACATCAGAGATAGCATAACGTGTTCATGGCAGACTTGTAATCAGGCAGAGAGCAACATTAACATTTCAGTTGTGTTCTGTCCCCTGATACTGTCAGTCCAACTGAAGAGTTTGGTGATAATGAATGGGCTCTAAACAGCATTGCTTGCTGCTGGAGCCCTGCTGGTTTTGTTCCCTTTATTCTTCTGTTGCTTCTTCTTTCCTATTATTTTTCTATGCCAGCTGTTTTCACGTCCTGAACATCAATTTGTTTAAATATTGTAACTGTTGCCTGATATGGTTATACAAATAGGTAAAGCTGTATCAAAAGCCATTTTGGCACAGTGCACTCGAGTGATTCAAAGGTCTAGGGTTCCATTCTCTAGGTGACCAATTCCTATGATTTCACCAAAATCTTTGAAACGACATCTGAGAAACACCATTCACACGCTTGGACAACACGGACCAACGCTGAAAAGAATGAGACGATGGAATGTTTGACTATTCTGTGTGGTACAGTGGTTCTGGTGGTCTCTTTTATTTTGCATCTTGTTTCGTAGTGTGTTGGTCCTTCTGCCTCATTACCACCAGAGGGCAGGGTTGAGAAAGAACCACATTCTCCACAAGAATCCCCTCCCACTCAAAGCCATTTGTAATTAGTTTGATAATGTCTTTGTATTCCTTTATCAACAAACAGCCTTGTTTTCCATTAGTTCAAGGTTTCTATGTTCCTTGTTAGAGATGTCTCTTTTGTCTGCTGATACATTATTTGGATGTGTAGTTTATCTTGCCTTGTTATTATTTGTCCTCCCATCTGGGATGCCACTTTTATGTTGATGTTAGTCTTCAAGTTGCTTGGGTGCTGGTCGGGCCTGACAATTTGAATATTTAGAGTATGGTCAAAGCCTACAAAGGGTACATGTAACAAAAATAATAAGTATAAATCACATGTCCCCTTTAACACATTGCAATCATTCTCATTCAAACCTAGTTAAAGCCACACCCCTAAACAAATCAGAATAAATGCAACAAAAGAATAAACTGAACGTTCTGTTATAAGTTAGTCTGCTGTGGGTGAAAGTGTGAATTCATTGAACAGATTCTGCCCAAATTATCCAAAAGTATAATCCGCAGAACTCTAGATTTCAGGAGTTCACTCCCAACCAAAGTGAATATTCCCAAATAATGTTTTTTAGATAAATTCAATAAAAACAAACAAAAACACCCACCTTAAATTAGCTTTGGCAAATGTATTTGCAGATCTTAAAAGGTCTCCTATTATACTATGTTTTAACAATATATAACAGGTCTTAGATATATACAGAACATGTCTCTGAAGTGTTTGGCTGAAACACCAAACTGATCATTGCAGCATCCCATAATCCCCTCTGTTTCAGCCCTGTTTCAAAAGTGCTGATTCTCTGTCTGTGACTTTAGATGAAAATAAGGAGCCACTCCCCACGCCCCTCTGGGAGATATTTGGTTAAAAATAACACAATAGCCGCTTTCACACCAAGTACTTTGCCGTACTTAGTGCCGGCACTTAGTACCCCAGGGCACTAATGGCGCATTTCCACTGCAGCGGGTAGCCCCGTTTAAGCGCCCTTAACCGTCCTCAAGCGGCCAGGCCGGTTTTTGGTGGCCTTTCCATATAGCCTAGTACCGGCTAGCGGGTACTTTTCCCCTCTTTTTCCGGCCCCATAAAATCGTGGTTCTATCAGACCAGGGCCAGGGCTGAACTAGTGACGTCAACACTCTCGACTGCTGATTGGCCAGAGAGAATCGTCACAAGATCGCGCGCGAGTTCATCCCTAGCGTCGCATATATATTTAGAAGCAAGCTTGCAGCATTTTTATAAACAGCATTTTGTAAACGGAGGAGCTACAAAAATGGCTATGTCTAATAAGAAAAGCACACCGTGGTCGACCGAGGAGGTGACGACGTTCCTACATCTCATTGGGGATGATCAAATCCAGCGGGAGCTCGACGGAACAACTCGAAATGTGAACAAAAACAAAGCCGATCGCCCCGCCTACACTGCGTTGCTACCCCAGGTCCTAAACTGTAATGGAAATGCGCCACGGCCTCGGACGGCCAGCGAGGCAGCCCGAGGCCTGAGCGAGGACGCTTAAACAGGGGCTACCCCGTTGCAGTGGAAATGCGCCATAAGTACCCCAGGGCACTAAGTACCAATCGCGTTCACACCGGAATAAATTCCCTGAGGGAAGAATACGCAAATGAGCCGCTGACGTCACTTCGTCGTCTTCTGCTTTGGGTTTACTGGCAGGCTGTAAACCACTTCACGGCGTATACTGCCACCCGAAGTCCCCGGCTGGAAGTCCTCGGAGTTGGGGACTGGCTTCAGTAGAAGCTGCTGGGACTCCCAGCAGCTTCTACTGAAGCCTTCCGAGTAAATCGCCAGAACGCCGACACCTCCTCATCTCCACCGCTCCCATGTTTTGTTTTGTGTTGCAATCAATCAATGTTTATTTATATAGCCCAATATCACAAATGTTACATTTGTCTCAGTGGTCTTCACAGTTTGTACAGAATATCAGTATGACAATACGACACCCTCTGTCCTTAGACCCTCACATCGTACAAGGAAACACTTCCAGAGAAAACCCACAGTTTAAAGGGAAAAATGGGAGAAACCTCAGGGAGAGCAACAGAGGAGGGATCCCTCTCCCAGGACGGACAGACGTGCAATAGATGCCGTGTGTAAATCGAAAAAATAATAGATTTACAACATAGGTAGTCCAAATGTTTGGAAATGCATGTGTCTAAAATAAGAAAATGAATCCACGAGGATGTCAGCAATCTTGTGGGAGCCATCAGGGAAGTAGTATGATGAGAGTCAGGCAGGACCACATATAAGTCATAAGTCATTCTCTCTCCGTTGGTGCGCGGGGCTAATGCTAATGCTAATGCCACAAATACAATGGCGGCTTCACAAAACTTTGCAGAGTTTTACGGGGCGTGGTTTGCAATTCTCCCAGCCAATAGAAATTGGTACTTTTTTGGTACCACCTCTCTAGCAGGCACTAACAATGCAGTGTTTTCCCTACCATTGTCTTGGCGGGGCGCTGCGCTGCGCCCAACCTAAGGAGCCCTGCGCCCCGCCTGAAATTCAAGGTGTTTTTTTTAATTAAAAAAAAATATATACAGTGGGGCAAAAAAGTATTTAGTCAGCCAGCAATTGTGCAAGTTCTCCCACTTAAAAAGATGAGAGGCCTGTAATTTTCATCCTAGGTACACTTCAACTATGAGAGACAGAATCGGGGGAAAGAATCCAGGAAATCACATTGTAGGATTTTTAACGAATTAATTGGTAAATTCCTCGGTAAAATAAGTATTTGGTCACCTACAAACAAACAAGATTTCTGGCTCTCACAGACCAACTTCTTCTTTAAGAGCCTCCTCTGTCCTCCACTCGTTAACTGTATTAATGGCACCTGTTTGAACTCGTTATCAGTATATAAGACACCTGTTCACAACCTCAAACAGTCACACTCCAAACTCTACTATGACCAAGACCAAAGAGCTGTCAAAGGACACCAGAAACAAAATTGTAGACCTGCACCAGGCTGGGAAGACTGAATCTGCAATAGGTAAGCAGCTTGGTGTGAAGAAATGAACTGTGGGAGCAATTATTAGAAAATGGAAGACATACAAGACCACTGATAATCTCCCTCGATCTGGGGCTCCACGCAAGATCTCACCCTGTGGGGTCAAAATGATCACAAGAACGGTGAGCAAAAATCCCAGAAACACACGGGGGGACCGAGTCAATGACCTGCAGAGAGCTGGGACCAAAGTAACTAAGGCTACCATCAGTAACACACTACGCCGCGAGGGACTCAAATCCTGCAGTGTCAGACGTGTCCCCCTGCTTAAGCCAGTACATGTCCAGGCCCGTCTGAAGTTTGCTAGAGCATTTAGATGACCCAGAAGAGGATTGGGAGAATGTCATATGGTCAGATGAAACCAAAATAGAACTTTTTGGTAAAAACTCAACTAGACGTGTTTGGAGGAGAAAGAATGCTGAGTTGCATCCAAAGAACACCATACCTACTGTGAAACATGGGGGTGGAAACATCATGCTTTGGGGCTGTTTTTTCTGCAAAGGGACCAGGACGACTGATCCGTGTAAAGGAAAGAATGAATGGGGCCATGTATCGTGAGATTTTGAGTGACAACCTCCTTCCATCAGCAAGGGCATTGAAGATGAAACGTGGCTGGGTCTTTCAGCATGACAATGATCCCAAACACACCGCCCGGGCAACGAAGGAGTGGCTTCGTAAGAAGCATTTCAAGGTCCTGGAGTGGCCTAGCCAGTCTCCAGATCTCAACCCCATAGAAAATCTTTGGAGGGAGTTGAAAGTCCGTGTTGCCCAGCGACAGCCCCAAAACATCACTGCTCTAGAGGAGATCTGCATGGAGGAATGGGCCAAAATACCAGCAAGAGTGTGTGAAAACCTTGTGAAGACTTACAGAAAACGTTTGACCTCTGTCATTGCCAACAAAGGGTATATAACAAAGTATTGAGATGAACTTTTGTTATTGACCAAATACTTATTTTCCACCATAATTTGCAAGTAAATTCTTTAAAAATCAGACTTTCTGGATTTTTTTTTCTCATTCTGTCTCTCATAGTTGAGGTATACCTAGGATGAAAATGACAGGCCTCTCTCATCTTTTTAAGTGGGAGAACTTGCACAATTGGTGGCTGACTAAATACTTTTTTGCCCCACTGTATATAGCACCAAATTGGAACTGAAGTAATCTATCTACGGTCACTTTTCACATTGAACATGTGCTCTTTTATTAAATAAACTAAACGCCTATGTTATTTATCCAATGTATGTGCATGTTTCAGTGTCCACTGCTTTGCGTATTCACATTCTCCCTCCGCTTTTGTTCCTGAAACTTTCAGAATCTCTTAACACAGAGGGTGACACATGTTGATGTATGAAATACATAAAGTGGATTTTGCATAATAGGGGACCTTTAAATAATAGTGTATTGAAACGAGCTCGCAGGGCAGCCGATGATCGAGCTTTTCATGGCACTCGGTATTCTCTGGGGGATAAGTCAACTCTCTCAGACGCACAGCCATTTTTGTGAGATGGGTTTTTAAAAGTTGTCACAGGACGGGCTTGTTCTAACCAGTTTACCCTACTGTAAATCTTACACTATAAACAGATGTGTTTTAATTCATACCAGCTGTGTCCAAACTTTTCATGTGCCAAATGGACTCAAATGTGTATCGCCATGGGCATGAGATTTTCATGTAAGGGTCAACCTTAATGATAGACTTTAAGAACAGCTGATGAAGCATTATTGATCAGATGAGATCAAATGACATCACCCAGTATTCACTCACCTTTAACACCCAGCTGTCAGTCACTATCACTCGGGCTCCAGGGGCCCCTGTAGCAAACTTGTCGATGCGTCTGAACTCATCGTTGACGCTGGTTGCCACGGAGCCCCAGCTGGAGTGAGGAGGCTGTATGTGGGACTGCAGGGCGCGGCTGATTGGATGGTTGTGCCAGCGACGACGGGACCAGTAGATGACGAGCGTCCAGCTGGTCAACTGGAGGCAGAGGGAGAGCAGGAGGAAGGCTCTCCAGCTGTCACTCACCTGTTCAAACACAACACATCTGAGACCAAGGTTGCGGTCGGATAATCCAGAAATCTGCTCCTATTGTCTATCCCCATCTCCTATTCCTTGACCTCTGAGTGCAACGTCACGGGGCTAAGGAATAGTGGATAGGAGAATTCAAAAGGACTTAGGAGAAGAGACTGCGGTACTTTAGAGAATCCGAATGCACTTTCACTATCCAACGTGTTTATGATGCGCCAGCGGACGTCATGAATGTGCGTCTGCTGCTGTGGGGAAACTATGGAAACTACAGTTTTCTATACAGCGGACTACAACATGGATGTTCAATAAGAACGAGGGACTACTGTAAACTCATCTAGAGACTCTGCACCGTGCTCTGATGCTGTTGCTTTGCTTTATGAACGTGGACAACAGAGAAACATATTCTTCATGACCAAAGTTGGAATTGAAATAAAAAAGGAAAGTGAAACTTATGCTCGTCACCCTCTCCCTCCGGTCCACATTAATACAAATGATCCCAATACGTATGATTGTATGAACTATGAAAAGATCTTAAAATAAATACAAATGTATTTATTATAAACGTTAGTCCTTAACATCTATCACTGTGTATATCACCATTCAAACATCTTTTAAAAGTTGAACAAACCCCCCACAGCTCAGTGAAATGTTGACTTTATTTGATATTTCAGTAAAAACTAACGTTCATATTTCTCTTTTTGATTATAATACTGATGAACGTTCAAAACAAAGCACTTTGGCAACTTACCACATACGTTTTAAAATGCTTAATAAGCACCGTAACTTTCATGATATAATTTCTCCGTCATAATCGGTTGTTTCCGTGAACGGCCGACTGTTGTGTGATGGTAAATGCTGCGGCTGCAAGGCATTATGGGGCAGCATTTTCTCCTCTCCTTTCGTAAAGGGAGGTCCAGTGGTTCCTAAGCTAAAGGAGGTTATAAAGGACACTGCAACCCAAGCTCTAACAGAGAGGAAGTCTGGAGAGCATCCACAGGACAGCAGGAGCAGGACTTATGCAGGTAAAGATTGCACATTGAATAGCTGAGGCAGAAACAAAAAGATCTCTCAAAGCATTGTTTCATAAAATCCCTAACTTTTGTTATTACCAGCTAAACATACAATTATGAAATATCAAAAGTATTGCTACAAAGGAATATCATTAAATAAATACAAATGTCTTAATGAATAATACAAATGTAATAGGGGTGTCAAAGTAATAACACTAATCATCTGAATCTGTAGAGTAACTAAAAGCTGTCAGATACAAATAAAAAAGATTGGCATCTAAGATAATAGCGAGTAGAAGTTGAACATAGCATTAAATTAAAATACTAACTAAGTACCTCAAGATTTTACTGTGTGTAATACTCAATACTTAAGTGCAAGTTAATGCACACACTTTGTGACTACAGATTGCATGCCGATTACCTTAAAGTAAATCAATCTTTGTTTGGAATTGTTGCAATTATGATAATAATTTTGTATAAAGTAATTATATTGTCCACTCCCATGTTGATAAAAGTATAAAAAAAACTTGAAAAATATCTGTTTTTGAACAGATTAAACATTTGCGATTGATTGCGAGTCAACTATAGAAATCATGCCATTAATTGCGATTAACATCCTAATTGATTGACAGCCCTAAAATGTTAATATTCATAAAGAATATCATTTATGTTTGATGGAGTATTACTAATAATTACATCTACAAGCAGTGATGGAAGGCACCTCACACATGGACACGTGTTGGTGATACTGGAGGGCCGCCGGTTTCACGGTGAACATTTCTTATTGCATGAAGTGTGATTTGCTTGAAATACCATAGATATTGGTAATATTGCACCACTTCCTGTGTCCACTATGTAGCATTAGAAAAAGGCGCTTAATTTATGTTAATGTCGCTCTAAATCATGTGTAGACCAAACCCTGTCCTGTTCATGTAAATTGGATGTTGTTCATATAAGGCTGACTTCCTGTTTTCACCTGGCCACACCAAAGAACACTAGCCAGTCATTTAAGGGGAGAGACTTGACTCAATGCTTTGATGACTTTTCATTTTTGTCACAAGTCCACTCATATGACGGCTGAAACTAAGATCAACCATTACTCTGAATATTGGGATATTAAACAGTTGGTCAAAGTGTAATGCTTGTTTTTCGACTGATACAAGTGTGTTCTGCAGACAGACATTAGAGGGACAGGCTGACCTGGTGAATGGATCCCAGGTTTTTTTCTGGAGCAGCGATGCACATCCCCAAATAGTAACCTGCAGAGATGAAACCCATTAGTTCCAGTGACACACACACACACACTATTTGCAGCCTGTGACGACACAGTTCTGTTAGTTGTATCTAAGCATATTGGTTTTAAAATGTAATGATGACGGTGTCTACAAGGTGCTAAACGTTCCACTGCTGACACATAAAGCAATCAGGTTCTGTTTTTAGTTTGTAAATAACCGTGGCCAAAGTATAACATGGAACTTAATTTAAACCACACCAACCAACAAGTTAATTCATTTTGATATATTCCGATATACAGCTGCAGGTAAACTGTGTGACTCCTTCAGTATTTATCAGCAACGCAACATTAAATGAAATGTTGAGAACCCCAAAGTTGTGTTAGAAATGTCCCCAGCACATAGAAACTGTATTATCCAGGAAGTGGCCATATTTGTACTCTCGGTGGGCTGATTTTGACTATCATGAGAAGCGTTGTGATGATTGGATACAGAGAGCACAAGATGAAAATGATTACCTCTACTTTGAACAATTATTTTTCAAATAAATAGACAATTTGTCCAATCCAAATGATCCCCTACATCTTCCAAATTGATCTAAAATGTATCAGCCCACAGAGAGTACATACAACTGACATTTTGTGTTAAAAAAATGTCAGAAATGGACTTATCAATAACCCCCACACATTCTCAAATTCTCCAAATGGGCCAAGCCATTTTTTTAACTATTGTTTACATAGGCTATAATGCCATTTATTTTTAATAACACAACACATAATTGTCCAACATATGCAGGTTAGCATCCATCAGTTTCTATGTGCTGAGGACCCTACTATACATTCCTTACATAGGACTTTGGGGTACTCAACAGTTCCGGGTTCAGGACTCTATGAGCTGGCAGTCAGACTGACACCTGTCCTGCAGGTACACTGTGGGTGAACTCCTCCAGTATTTGTCAGTAATCGACTCGCTCATTTCCCCCTCATGTTATGTCTCTAAACACATTTAGAGACATAACATAACTTAGATATTACCTAAGGGCAGTGCAGAGTGGACCAGCAGGGTAATGCTGGTCCTCCGGACGTGGTACTGGATGAAGCCCACGTCCTCGCTGCCCAGCCAGGACGAGAAGAGGTTCTGGACGGTCAGCCCGGCCGAGCGGAACTCGTTGGGCGTGAACACGAAGCAGAGGGAGAACACGAAGTAAGCCAGAGTGAAACTTAACTCCGGACTCTCCATTCTTCAGGTAGGTCAACCGATATCACATCGAGAGTTATGTTTGCTTTTTCTCCGTCTTCTTCTTCTTGTTATGCTCCTGCTGCTGCTGCTTCTTCTTCTTTAACGGCTTTATGAAGGCTGGTAACCAGCGTTAAAGGTGCATTACCGCCACCTACTGTATTGGAGTTTGGACCAGAACTGTGTAGGCTGCGGCCCCACGCCCCCTAAAATCTCGTCATAATATGGAGCTAATTTCCTGCCATAACTCCACAAACAAACTAAACAAATTTTACAAATGCCTTATGATTCACTAACAAACACAGTGTGGTTTGCAAATACAAAACACCATCTACAAACTAATGCATTTAGTTTTGCAAAGAAAAAACGTATCTATCAAACAAACCAACACACTCTCACTCCCTAAGCGTCCAGGAGCGACGTTTGGTCAGTGTCCGTGGCGTCCAGTTGTGACGCTCCTAGGCTCCTTCAGCGTCATAAAGGGACGCAAATAGCTTTCAACTGATTGCAATGTATTCCCATCTGCGGCGGGATTTGACGCTCATGGAAGCACGGCATTCGTTTGTGTCGGCTGCCCTTAAAGGCAATGTGAGCGTCCATTCCCATTGGATAACGGAGAATTGTACGCCCGGAAGTAAGTATTCCTCTTACTGTCGATTGATTTTACAGTGATGTGTGCACTACTCATCGACTAAAAAACACCAGATTATCCTTGTTAATTACACAACATTGATTGGTTTAAATTGTGTGCAATGCTTTTGTATTTTTCCCCTTCGATTCGGAGAAACAAATATTTTTTCGGAGTAAAGGATGGCAGAAGACACTACACTACCCAGAATCCCCAGCTATCGTTTGGACTACACCATGTGCTCTGTTTGACAAACCCTGTGATAGTCCTCAAGCTCTGTGATTGGAGAGTGTGCTCCGAGGGTTACGCCTATTCTCGAACAGCACTTGAAATGGGATGGAACCAAGGCATTGATTGATTGATTGATTGATTGATTGATTGATTGATTGATTGATTAATTGATTGATTGATTGAAAAGTGTATTAACAGCTTGTATATTGGGTACAGTACAGTACAGCTCAAAACATACAATTGTTAAGGGGATGCAGACCAGAGAAAGACTTTCGTCTTGTTTACATCAGGGGTCCCCCATTTCCAATTCATCATGTCATTTAAGACATATAAGACATATTTGACATACAGATGGCTTATTTACAATTTACATACAGTTGTTTTTTTTACATACAGATTGCTTGTTTACAATTTTCATTTTAGATTTGGTTCTAATACATCCTAACCGGACATTTAAGACATACCAAGTCTACAGATATACAGTTAGTAACAGAGTCTAAAATGCGAGTATATACATAGATGGGGGGGGGGGAAGCTGTCCATTGAACGACAGGTTGAGATTTGTACCATTACCGGGGCCAGTTTTGCAATGCTCTCCCCCGAAGGTGCTCTTTAAGAGAGGTTTTGAAGGTAAGTATAGTTTTACTTTCCTTTACAGTTGTGGGAAGAGCGTTCCACCTTGATGTGGCATAATTGCGAAACGTGTATTCCCCCTTTTTTGTGCCAAATCTGGGTTTCACATGATTTGTGGAGCTCCCTCTGGTGTTATGATCATGGTATTCCTTGACCTTTGGGAATAATTTTGACATGTACATGGGTACCATAGAGGTGTAGTGGATCTTGTAGACCAGGCCCATTGCAAGTAGCTGTACTCTGTCGTCTACTCTAAGCCATCCTAGGTTGTCAAAGTGGGCAGAGGTGAGGTGGGTTCTAGATGAAAGGTCAAGCAGTAGTCTGACCAGTTTATTTTGCGATGTTTGAAGTTTTGCAGACTATCCAAAACTGGATTTGAACGGGTCCACCGCATCCCCCCCTCCCCCACCCCGTCCCCAGAACTACACATGCTGGCTATTCTGTTTCGCAACATGTTAGGCTTGTTTGAGACAAGCAAGACCTGCGCAGACCTGCGCAGTTGCGATCAACGTCTTGCTAGTGCGTTGCATGATGGTTAGTCATTTTGTCCGACTTGCTCTGGAGGCCCGCCCACATGAGACTTTGAAATTTCGCGGGACAAAGACGCCCGCAGCCTTGAGAGCGAGGCGAGGCGAGTTGGCGCAGTTGCTCTCCACGGGCTGCGGAAGCGAAATGCTTCATGGGAAACGGCTCGCTGGTATCTCGAGCTGAGCGCTCATTGGTGGTTTTTACCACGTGCTGCTGATGAAACTCTCCAATTGGCTGGCAAAAGTTTGTTGTTGTTTTGTGTCAGTTTTACGTCGCCACATCCATTCCCATTTTTCATCATTGTTCCACAATATTTATCATCATGAAATTAATATCTATATATTTTATACTATACTTGCACTGCTTACCGTTTTCATACTTTATATATCTTAGCATATTCATACACACTGTTCATACTGCTCACAGGCTGATATCTAGTGTATTCATACCCCACTGTTTATTCATCATTCAATTCATTCTATATGTTATTCTGTAGATTGTGTACATTACTTTCCACTTCACTGCTTGTTGCACCTGGTTAGAAGCTAAACTGCATTTAGTTGTCTCAGTACCTGTAATATGTGCAATAACAATAAAGTTTCTCTTTAAGTTAAACCAAATCATTAAAATAAAATCTAATGTAATGTAATGATTTGGTTTAACCTTATTTATTGAATACATCATTTCAAATGGCAAGATTAAATCAAATTACATCCATGTTGTACACATCATAAAGCTTAAAGTGGCAGCTAAAGAATTAACACAGCAGCAGGTCTGTTCAATTGATGCTCATTAAGCTTCATGTGTGCGGATCTGAAGGGACTGATCATTTGTAGCCTGTCCACCTATCAGTTTTGCAAACATTAAGAGGGAGGAGCATTTCTAATTATGGAACCCAGTCACTGGTGTGGTTCATCATCATGACTGAATTAACAAACCTATATAAAGAAATGGAGATCACCTTTGTCTACAGTGGGTAAAATGGAATTTGTGGTGCTTACACTGTGTGACGAACAGGGAGACATCACTGCAAGAGTCTCACAAGACATTTCCCAAAGACTACAAAATGGTGAGTAAACAACTAAATTGCATTCCAACAATCTGGATATGATTTTAAATGATGTAAATTATTTTTCAGATAACAGTTTAGCAGCTGCACTTATGCAGCAAGCAAGGGCTGCAACAAATGCACAAGGTAATCAATAATTTAAATCAAAAATGGTATTGTCTTTTAATGCAAATCAAACAAATGACATATTCATGTTTATTGTAAACAAATATTTAATTTTCTCTCAATCACAGTCCCTTTAGATCTGTCTTCAGATGCTAGGCCTGCTCCTGAAAGGCCTGCTCCTGATGAAAGACCTGCTCCTGACGAAAGGCCTGCTCCTGATGAAAGACCTGCTCCTGACGAAAGGCCTGCTCCTGATGAAAGGCCTGCTCCTGTAAGGCCTGCTCCTGTAAAGCCTGCTAGATCCCAAGCTGGCACTCCTCACCTGGCATCCCCCTCCAGCCGGTCAGAACACCTTGAGGCAACACAAGGTACAGTAACTAAAATGAGGATCTAAACAGCAAATGCTATTTGTTTGAGTTACTAACACTTGTGTCTTAACAGATTTCACACACACACACACACACACACACACACACACACACACACACACACACACACACACACACACACACACACACAACACCATACTGCTGCTTTTGGACCTGACAAAAACACACCAACAGGTGTACTATCACTCCAAACCCGGTTTTTACAAAATTCTACAACGGCAGTTCAGCAAGGAGGGATACAGTTTCTCCTCAGACAAAATCCGGAAAAAAACTCAACAACCTTTTGACCACCTACAAAAGGGCCAAGGACCGTTGTACCTCAACAGGAGAGGGGAACATAACGTGGGAATATTATGGGGTAAGAAGTTTGTTCTTGCACATCTAGTTGGTAAAAGCAACATTTCCATTTGAACAATTCTGCAATTCCACAGATAATGGACAACCTGTTTGGGAGGTGCGGTGTTGGGAGCGCACCACCAGGCACTCTTGTTTCCACCCCTCTATTACCCACTGCCTCACAACCATCCACCACACTGATGTGTGCCTCTGAGGCCCAGCCTGGTCCCTCCATGACCCTGCCCACCACACTGCCGTGTGCCTCTGAGGCCCAGCCTGGTCCCTCCATGACCCTGCCCACCACACTGCCGTGTGCCTCTGAGGGCCAGCCTGGTCCCTCCATGACCCTGCCCACCACACTGCCGTGTGCCTCTGAGGGCCAGCCTGGTCCCTCCATGACCCTGCCCACCACTCAGCCGAGATCAATCCGGTCTCGAGTCTCCCATCCCTCCATCTACGACCTGTATGAGGCCCACTCGGAGAGGAGGACCAGTGCACTGGAGACACTGGTGCGGCCAGAACAGGAGCGCCGGAGAAGGCTGAAGGAGAGAAATAGGAGGAGGTTTGAAGCTAAAATGTTGACTGCGATGGGAGAAGTTGTTTCCCAGTTAAAGTCCATTGGGAGCCAACAAGAGCGCATCATTGAGCTTTTGCAGGACAAGCCCAATATGCCATAATTTCCCCCACACTGGGTATTCCCTGAATTAATTTGTTTATAAAGAACACCACCTCAGTTTGTTTATGGAAGTAATATTGTTTAGATTAGTTATTTATTTTCCTCGTTATGCAGTTGAGTTATTATTTCATCCCTGGCAATTGCCTTGTAATATTTGTATTTGTATACACTAAGTGTTCACAATGTTTATATGCAATTATTATTTATTTGCCAAGTACATGTGTACATATGTATATATAGTTATTTCATTTTCAAAGAAGATAGTCAACTGCTATTGACATGTGCAGAAAATGACCATATCTAGTTTTCATATATATGCATTTATTGTTTACTTGCCCAATCATTTTGGATGACATTACATGTTACTTGTTAGGCGCTTTAATCCAAAGCGACTTACATACTCAATACTGTGATAAAAGGAAAGGAAATACAAAACAAATGTCTTCCACAAAGAATATGACAGTGGTTATTTGTGGGGGGTCGGGGGTGGGGGGGTGGGGTGTGTGTGTGAGCTCTTTAAAAA